CTGATGGTGGTAGAAGGTGGTAGTGGTGGAAGACGGTGACAGTGGTGGAAGGCGATAGCGCTTGTGTTGGTGGAAGGTGGTAACGATGGCACTGGTGGAAGGAGGTGGCGATGGCGCTGTTACTGGGGGTGGAAGGCGATGGCACTGGTGGTGGTGGAAGATGGTGGCGATGATGGAAAACAGTGGCGCTAGTGGTGGTGGAAGGTGATGGCGGTGGTGGTGGTGGTGGTGGTGGTGAAAGGTGTTGACGGTGGAGAAAGGCGGTGGCGGTGGCGGAAGGTAGCAGTGGTGGTGGCGGTGGTGAAAAGTGATAGCGGTGGCGGTTATAGTGATGGCGACAAAGGAAGGCGGTGTTGGTGGTGAAAGACGATGGCGGTGGTGGGGGTGGAAAGCATTGGGCGATGGTGAAAGTCACTAGCGGTAGTGGTGGTGGTGAAAAACTGAAGTAGTTGTGGTAGAAGGTAGTGGTGGTTTTTGAACTTGGAACATGAGAGTTTTTTAGGAAATTGATTTTTTTAAAAAAAAATTACTTGGGAAAGGAATGGCTATTCCATAGGTTTAGTTGTGGAATAGATTTTCATTCCAATGGAATGACCATTCCCACTTTAAATTGCATAGCAAATAAATGAATGGTTGAAATGGGCATTCTATTTCATTTCTGCACACCAAACGCAGCATAAGAGTATCTCCAGTGTTTTTGTATATTTATATATTTTTGTGTAAGTCTAACGTGTCATAGCTAGTAGATTTACACAAAAAATTTACCTAGAGCATCTCCAACAGTCTGTTAAAACACTCTTTTGTGTAAAATATACACTATCACGATGTGTAATTTTTATTTATTTATTTATCTCAAGCAGTTTGTTAAGATATACTGTCACGTCATCAATGTGTAAAATTGTTGTGTATTTTACATAATCTTTTTATACAGTCACATCAGCATATTTCCTTTCTCCTCTATCTTTCTCATTCCATTAATGAATCAACCCTATAATAAGTAGGTTTGTAAAAATTATATGGGGTCCAGGCAAAACACTAGTTAGTTGTTATTAGGAGATATATATTTTACACAAAAGTATAAAACATCGCTGGAGTTAAAAATAAATAATCTAAATTTTTAGTGTAAATCTATTATGACACATCAAATTTAGACAAAAAAATATACACAACGTTAGAGATGCTCTTATATTTTTAGCTCCAACTATTATTTTATAACTTTTGTGTAAAAATGTATATGCCAATAAAAATCAGCCATGTGTCCCCACATAATTTGTACAAATTAACCTACTTAATATATGATTGATTCGTTAATACAATAAGAAAGATAGATGAGATGAAAAAGGAAATATGCTAATGTGGTTGTGTAAAATATACAATAATTTTACATATTTGTGTATCAAATTTACTTATTATACGTGGTAGTATATATTTTACATAAAACAATGTTTTAATAGACTGCTGGAGATGCTTTGAGTTTAGATTTTACCATAAATAATTTTTTCCTATTTTTTCTCTCAATCATCCGCCAAAAAATTGCCAAATCATCTACTATCTAAGAGCATCTCCAACCATTGTATATATATTTTGTAAATCTGACGTGTCATAATAGATTTTTAAAAAAAAATTAGATTATTTATTTTTAGGTATAGCAGTTGTTTTATACCTTTTGTGTAAAAATATATCTACCAATAACAACTAACCAATGTCATGCTTGGACCCACATAATTTTTACAAACTTACTTGATTTATTAATGAAATGAGAAAGAGGGAGACGAAACAAAATATGCTAATGTAACTGTGTAAAATACACAACAATTTTACACATTGGTGACGTGACAGTGTATCTTAACATACTACTGGAGACAAAAAATTTACAAATTATATGTGACACTGTATATTTTACACAAAAGAGTATTTTAACAGACGACTGCAAATGCTCTAATTAAAGTTATTTTTGTGATACAATAATTTGTGATGTTTAACATTTTTCAATCAAAAAAACTTTCTTGGTGGAAAATTTTAATTTAATTCTCTCTTTTGCCATTCTCCATTAGCAAGATTTGGATGTAAAGTACACTATAAATCAAAACTAGATATATTTTTATTGTGTTTATCTGGTGATAATCATTAATTCTAAACAATTGAATTTTGATGAGAAGTTTGTTGAAGAGTGGAGTCTGAATTTAGGAGAGATTGTAATGAGGAAAGAAAACAAGATGAAAATGGAAGTTTACAATTTCTAAAAATTTCTATGTCAGTCTAAGAAGAAAAAGGAAAATTTAATTTTTATATCAACGAAAAAAAAACTACGGAGAAAAAGAAAAGAAACGTAGCTAATATTAAGTAGCTAATAATTTTTTAGAGTGTTACATCGTTCAAGATTCATATCATTATTGTGAAATGGTTACTGTTATTCATATTTTAGTCTTTACATTAATTTTGTCTAATGGTAAAAAATTTAAGAATGAGTTGAATTCGACTTGAAGGACAGATTAGGATTGGATTAAGATTCAACATTTTATATGTTAGATTGAGCTCTAGTTGTATTTCTATCAAGCTCGAGTTGCACCTCTAATAAAAATTTGAGGATGATATTCTCCCTGTCTCAAAATAAGTGTCATATATATATATTTTTTTTGTCTGTCTGAAATAATAGTCTACTCTACTTTTTCAAACAATATATTATACATTTTTTTATATATGCCATTTGAGTTTAAAATTTCAAACTTGAATATTTAAAGTTTAAAAGAACAAGTTAATAACTTTCCACAAGACAATGTATGTCCCATATATTCTCTTAAAAATTATTATTTCCGATAAATAATACTTGAATTAAGTGGGAGGGAGAATCGTATAATGGTAACAGGAGAGAGTGGTCGGGTAGTGCATATTTGGAAGTCCAAACACTCCTTTTCCTCATGTCCACTTTTGTTCTGGCATGCATGCATGCATAGTTCTATGTATAGTAGTACTATGTCAGACTAGCTCAATTATTTAAAGGTTATCATATCAACGGATGGATTGTGTAGGTTTTAGACATCAAGAACTGCGTTGATCAACAAGATTGTTTTAATTTAATCTTAGTGCCACTAAAAAATATAAATTTATCATAAATCTTGTTGAGTTGCACCCCAATGAGAATTTGAGGGGGGGTTATCATATTGTCACTAAGATTAAATTAAAACAATCTTGTTGATCAACGCAGTTCTTGATGCCTAAAACCTACACTATCCATCCGTTGATATGATAACCTTTAAATAATTGAGCTATTCTGACATAGTACTGCTATACATAGAACTATGCATGCATGCCAGAACAAAAGTGGAAATGAGGAAAAGGAGTGTTTGGACTTCCAAATATGCATTACCAGACCACTCTCTCCTGTTACTATTTCAAGAGGACAAATCGCCCAACTCAAGCTCTTGAAATGACCTCTCACCCCTATAAAGTTCTCTATGTTTGCGTCATTGGGTGTTGTTTCCTTTATTCTCTCTATTCTTTCTCTAGATATGCTACTTCAGTAATTAAGGTGATTTAAGACTTTCCATATTCACCATTGTTCACCTTTCTACTACCTCTTAAAAACAAAAGGTTTTTTACTCCCATTTTTGGTAAATAACCTTTTTAAGTTATAGTTTAAGAATGTCCAGAAATGCATCTTTTAGATTCAAGTTTTTCCAATATAATTTTTAAAAACTCTCCATGCTGAAAATATTTTTAGAGAAATATAATGAATTTTCTACTTAAATTAGGCATTTTGAGAGAACTACTTTCACAATCAAACAACTATTCTCTTTTTTCTTTTTCGATAGAAGAATGTAACACCCATACCTCTATTAAAACTCGAATTCCCTGCTCTCTCTTTGATGAGGTGAGTTTGTACTAACTAAGTTATTACCCTTTTAGTATACATGCACATGTATGTTTTTTTTTGGAAAATTATGCACTTCTATGTTGATATATAGAAAAATGATACAACGAAGGACTAGTTTTAGCCCCAAAAAAATATCGAATCAACACTTCTATGCTATGGACAACCCATGTCCCTCTCTTACTCTTTTACACAACCCTCTCATCTTTCTCCCTTATCTTTCGTTCCCTTTTCTGCCCTCTCTCGCTCATCTGAAATCTATAACAGAGTTTTTAAAATCACCTGCAAACCTCTAATCTCTACCACCAAATTCAAAACCCCAGATTTGGATCTTGTATAAAAGTTTCCGCTATCCCAATTCTCTTCAATCGGTCCCAAAAAATTGCTTGTTTTTATTTTTAAATAATCTTGAATTTTGGGTTCTTATGTACCACTCAAAACCAAATCGCTAATTTTCAATCTATTTTGCCTCTTCGAAACCCTAATTTGATTTTGATTCGGCTTTTCTACGTTCGTATCACTCCATGCGTTGTACATAGCGTTCCAGACCAATGGGCTCGGGTGCTGGTGACCAAGCACTACTCATATATATATATATATATATATATATGTATTAGCACAATTGGGTAAATTTATCAAATTTATCATTTTCAAAAGAACAAATACTTCATGCATGAGGACAAAATTACCTATAAATTTTGTTAGAATCTTAAAATTGTTCATAATTTTTTGTAAAAATTTATAAAATACTGCCACTCAAAATGTACCTCCATTATCTATTACTATTATTGTTATTCAAGAACGTCCCCTCTCAATACAATTCTCTCAATACAATTCTCTAGTTCGTCACTGCTCCTCGCTCTCAATACAACTGCTCCTCGCTCGCGAAGCGAGGCATTGCTGTTTTCGAAAACACATTTTCCCATACATATATATTCTCTAGCTGCATGCTTTGCCAATAATACCCTAGTACCCATGAGAGACGGGTTATAATTATACTCTAGGATAACAGTGCTAAACCTTTTCTTGGTTTGGACTTTTTGTGAAAGATCTCTACTTTTGCTTGAAAAGTGCTTCTCAACACTATATATAGGGGGGTTTCGACTTTAACATTGTCCAATAACATTCTTCAAAGGGTACTTAAAACAACTCCTTTATCTAGTCTCACATATATACCTTCTCTCTCCCCTCTCTTTCTCTCTCTCTCTCTCTCTCATGGCAAGAGTGTCAGATCTTCCTCTTGTAGTTGGTAGAGTGATTGGAGATGTTGTTGATTATTTCTCTCCATCTGTTAAAATGACTATCACTTACAACTCTAACAAGCAGATCTATAATGGCCATGAGCTCTTTCCTTCCTCTGTGACAGCTAAACCTAGGGCTCAGGTTCATGGAGGTGATATGAGGTCCTTCTTCACACTGGTATTAACTCTCCATTATTCCTTAATTCCTTATATGTGTGTGTGTGTGTGTGTGCGCGCGTGTGCATTCATATGTATACATGTAACTTTTTTTTCTTCCTTGCAGATCATGACTGACCCTGATGTTCCTGGTCCTAGTGATCCATACCTGAGGGAGCACATACACTGGTAATGAGAAACATACAAAAATAACATCAACATCTAAAAAATGAGGCTAACCCGGAAAAAGAAAATGGAATTTAAGACTAGAGTTCAAGGCAAATGCTTTATGTAGTAGGTCATGTGGGTTTACAAGGCATTTTGTCAATTGAATTACCCATTTAAAAATTGGACGCATCTCTCCGGTACTAGTACAGTGCAGTGTAAGCACCGGAGAAGTTCAATATGTACGCCACCAATGTGTGTTTGACACCATTAAAGGAGATCTATCACTTTATTGTATCAATCACTTTATTGTGTCAATTATCATCATTGATTATTGTGCCCTCCCGTTATATGAGAGCTTTGATTAGAAAATATATAGCATCACTTGTCAAAATATTTTAGAATTTTTTGTTAAACATGGTATTAGATGATGGAAAATCATAGTATTTGAAAAAATTATTAGATGATGGAAAATCATAGCATTTTGGTCAGTCACATAAAATTAACGTGTTTAATTGCGTGACAATTTATAATTCACCGAGACCACATCTAATAACTTCTCTTGTTATGCATCTAGCTGTATCATAATATCCACTGATCAAAGAGTACAAAAAAGCACATCAATAAACCTTTTCTTTTTTAAGCCACACGATGATAAAAGTACTTATGATAAGGTCTGCACAAAATGGTTGGTTTATAGACGAACGCATCAACACATGGACCCATACCCACTAATTCAGTGAAAAAATTACTTCCATACATATATATAAATGTATTAGAAATGCAACAACCATAAATAGTAAGAGATGTGGCTTAGTTTCTTGGTATATATGTCATATGTGTGTTTCACTAAGATGAGAAAAGTTTACCCTTCAATTGAAAAAAAAAAAGAAAAAAAAAAGAGAAGAGACATACATATTTAGCAAGCTACTTACATTAATGTCTTTTTAACCTGATTTGCCTATCTTGTAGGATGGTCACAGACATCCCAGGCACAACAGATTCCTCTTTCGGTAAAGTCCTTTTTTTCCCCTCTTTTCGGGTTAATTATTTTTACTAGGTCCATTATTTATCCTTTAATTGGGCTAACTCTATCACTATTGCAGAAGCTCAATTTTTAAATCTCGTGAGTTTTACAAAAAATAAATAAATAAATTGTGTTAGTAAAATCACGACTGAACTTAGTATTTCTCTCTTTAGGCGTGATGCTGAGGCGGAATATAAACCTTTTAAAGGTTTGCATTCGGCCTCTGGTGAACACGTGTCACATAAAATTTTTACTTTTTTTTTTATACATATATATTAATTAATTTGTGGGGTTATCATGAAATATATATATTGATTGCATGCAGGAAGAGAGGTGCTGAGCTATGAAATGCCAAGGCCAAACATAGGGATCCACAGGTTTGTGTTCCTCCTCTTCAAGCAGAAGTATAGACAGACAGTGATCAGCATACCGGCTTCAAGGGACGGATTCAGTACTCGGAAATTCGCAGAAGAGAATGAGCTAGGCCTTCCTGTTGCCGCCGTGTTCTTCAATTGCCAAAGAGAAACTGCTGCAAGGAAGCGTTAATTGATTGATCAGACCATCTCTTCTTCTGCTTCACCCCAGCATATATATATATATATATATATATATATATGCATCTACTATATATTGTTAAGTATTGTGGTCCAACACCCTACAGTAGTACTCTATTTGGAACTTCATTGGTTCACTACAATAAGCCAGTGAACTGTAGGTGTATGTTCAGTCCTCTCTTGCTCTCTCTTTCTGTATTTGTACTGTTTTATGTAGACTTTTATGTGGTAGTAGTAGTAGTATATATATCTCTCTCTCTCTCTTTGTCTAGTTATGTGTGTGTGCACTGTTTACTGTAGTAGTAACTTTAGTTGTTCACACCTTGTTTTTTCATATTTGGCAACTCTGGAATGTCTCTAGGTTACTAGTTATAAAATGAAAAAGAAGAAAGCAAATCTTTCTAACGTTCTCGGATTTTTGGGAGATATTATAACCAGTCTATATATATATCAGACAAGATGCACGTATCTTAGCTAATTCTATGCTTTTCATATTTTTCTTAGCTAAATTGTACCATATACTAAATTGTTGTCCCTCAGACTAACCCTATATGGTGTACTCTATCTTTAGCGGTGCCTAACAAAAATTAGGGGTCAACAGTAGGAAAATGAGATCAATCTACTGTCATGTAACATATTTATTTATTTATTTTTTCTTCTTTGATAACAAGCAAAAACAAACAATTCATCCAAGACAAGTACAATTGGAAGTAGAGCATTTAAGCATTTAATAATCATGGGGCCATATGTTCCGCTCAACGTCACCACATTCTGCTCTGAAAGTATTTTTTTATTTTTTGTTGTTACTTCAAAAATGACGAAATTGCAAAAGCCTGCCGACTTGTTAATTATTGAATTTTTTTTTTTTTTTGTATAATTATCTTATTCATTCACATGTCAAAAATTGATACCTCTATGGACAACAAAGTCACAGAGGTATCAATTTTTGTTGGTCTTCAAAATAGTTCATCTCTCATGCTTTGCGATAGTATTTCTAACATATTTACAAGAAATTCATCATCGGATGGCTCTCAAAACTTTTTTTTTTCTTCTCAAAGATTAATTTTATATATATATATATAAAATGGCAAAGTGCCCAGTTTCCTAATTTGTGAGAATAAAAATAAATAAACAGTTTTGTATTTGAACTTCAAAACGCCAACAAAATATAATTAATTAAAATGACATGACTGTGACATGACCACAAATGAAGTGAACGTGGAATCCCATAGTCCCAGATAAATATTTTGCTGCCACGTGTTTAGCACCTCATCCTTGTCCTAACAAAGCTGCATCTCAACCTGGACGACTCGTAAAAGTCCTTCTACGGAGTGTTCTTTTTGGTATTTTTAGCTTATTTTTTCCCAAAAGTACAAATACGGACTACTTTTGAACGCAACCACACACTCTTTGCAAACTTAAAGGATTACAACTTATTGATTTGTCACACATCAAATCGTTTTAAGATAACTACTATAAAAAAAATATATAGTTATGAAAATAATTCTTTTTTTTTTAAATTAAATTTTAAAAGAAACATATTTCTATAACTATCAAGTAAATATATTTTTGTACAACTTTTTAGTTTCACTTTTTAAAAAAACATAAAACTATTCTAGAAAATAAAACCAAGCATACCTGATGCTCTAAGATTTTGATAGAAAGTTTCAAATTTACCTTCTTATTCTCAAAATTGCATTACGAAAATGGAAACATTACTTTCTTTTCCTTTTTTTTTTTTTTTTTTGGACGTATTTTTGTCACATCCAATAAGTTTATTAAAACTGTGTTTAACCAAGGTCAAAATTATAGGGGCAATTCCATTTGACTTCCATCTTCTAAAATGAATACATTTTGTTTTTAATTATTTTTCCCTTATTTTTTTTCCTTGTATCAATTGATATAAAATAAACAGCTTATATACAAACCATAAATGCTGTGTCAGTGGGCAGAGGTGGATCATTTGTTGTTTGCTGATGTATTTGTCTCCACTTTTCAGAAAAATAACTTAAAATAAATAAAAAAATTTGTGTCATGTACGTGCCGTTATGCCACGCATATAACAAACAAACATTGAAGAAGACATAACGCTTGGTCGGCAAGTGTAGAGAATTAAGTTACAAAATTCTCGGAAATTTGTAAAGAGTGTTGAAAGATTCTATAAATAGGGAGTAGCCTTATAAGTAGAGGTACAAGCACAATTAGCACTAACTTATGGTGTTTCAATCTTAGTTGCACTGCTTACTCTCTGAACAATATATTAAGGTAACATTTAGAAAAAATGAACTATGTTTTTCAGATTCACAAAATTTATCTATTTGAAAAATCAAATAATGTTTACTAAAATAGGAATTCATGTATTCATAAATTTGTATACTTTTCATACTTTCTTCAGCTAAATTGGTGTATATAAATAATGTAAACTATTACCATCTCACAACTTATATAGCAAACTATTATTTGAATTCATGAAAATAGAGCTATTAATTTTTAGGATTAATTTTACTAGCGAGAGATTTAACCAAATATAATCTTAAAATATTTTTAGAAAATTACTATCATTCATATTGTAAATAGTTGTTTCGTCTTTCAATCACATCCCCAATCATTACTTGCCAACCCCTTACATAATTTAAAATTACTTAAGTACCCTTTGACTTTGTCAAAAAGCTCTTCAACTTACAAAATTAAATTAAAAGACTAAACTATCCTTATATACTTTGCAAATTTACAATTATATATATATATATATATAATGAATACTTATGGGAAAAACTATAGTACAAAAATGCCCTCAATAAAATCTGCCACCTCATAAACATAATGGACGATTATGTAATTTCCAACCACTCCCTTCTTCGCGTGCATCTCTTTCTTTACAATGTCTGCAAATCTAAAAGAAGCATGACGCCGGCACGCCCAGACAACGCCGTTGGTGGAGGCGACAAGAACTATGGCTAGAGGAGAGGTTGTGGAGATCAGATGAAGAGGCACGACGTCGCGAGGAGAAAAGAAGGTGAAGGCGTCATCGTCGGATCTGAGACCGGAGGTCCGATTGTGGCGATGTGTTGGAGAAGAGATTGTAGCCATTCGAAATTGTTTTCTCCATCGATGAAGAATTAGAGTCAGCGAAATTGTGAGAAATTGATATCTTTAAGGGATTTCTTACACAAAAATTGGGGGAAAGAAATAGAGTGAGTTGCAGGAGGATTTGGTGGTGGTGGAGTCAGCCGAGGAAGGCCAAAGGAATTGTTCTGCTTAGATTGCAGAAGGAGGGGAGAGTGAGCAAATTTCCGGTCCCTGGTGATGATCATCATCTTCCATGGTAGATAGAGAAAGAGAATCTGGGTGTGAAGTAATTACATATTTTTATTAGTTTGCTGGTTTTTATAATGGATTTGATATTTTCTTAACAAGTCTCATCGAAAAGTTAACAGTGTCAGATCAGAATTTTTCATCTTAGTGCAAGTTCTGAAATGCTTGTTAGTTGATATTTTCTCTAGTATTAGTGAGCATTTAATTGATTCTGAATGTTGCAAGATAAAACTTTAATTATGCTAAAGAGAATTAATATTGGATTGGTTGGATTCGAGGGGGGCTGACCTTCAATCATATTTGGCATTGAAAAATTAACTAATTTAATTTGAACTAGCTCGCTAATACTGGAACTGAATCTGAATATGATCCCAAGTAAACTAGTTTAAGTCTAGGATTTGCCTAGATTGTTGAGCGGCACTGCTTGGTGAGAATGCTTTGTATTTGGGTGTGTTTGTGTATTTATATGTGTATGGAGGTCATCGACGTAGGCATGAAGAGAGGTGTAGCGCTGGAAATCGAAGTGGTCAGGGTTGACACTGCCGGCACAGAGTATCACACTGTAGTGAGGCAAGAAATAGGGCAGAATGTGGTGCCATGCCAACTGGTCGGTGCCGAAGCCGTGGGCTAGGACGAGGATCCTCTCGCCGAAGCCGACCACCTGGACGTTCAGGGCATCCAAGAGGTGATGACCCATTTCTAGGAGTTTACACACTCAAATACAAAGATGTGTGATAGAAGAATGATGGTAGTGGTGTTTTTGGAGTAGGGATGGTGGTGGGGGCACCACTGCTGGTTGTAGGGTGGGGATGGTGGTGTTCCCAGTGGTGGTTGTTTATGATTGAGAGAGAGATTTTGGCTGCCGACTGTGGAGGTGTGGGATGGTGATGGTAGCAACGCCGGTGTGGGGGTGTCGTCCGATGTGCTGTATATGCATATATTTTGGAGAGAAAAATTAATGGATAATTTTGTGTTTTTAAAGTTTGTTAATATTTAAATTATACTTGAGTGATAATAATTTTTAAAAAATATTTTAAGGCGATATTTGACCAAATTTAAAAAAATATCGTTGAAATTAACTTTAATTTTTATTGTAATAAAAAACGTCTCTCATCTTATAAGCATAAATAAAAGTAGAGGGAGGGAGTGAGTGTGTTTTAATACATTTAATTAAGAATAAGGCTCATCAGAATTCACAACAGGCTTGTGATAGTTAGGGCGTGATGAGAAAATGAAATGAATAAAAAGTTGAATTTCACCCCATTTCGTAGATAAGAAATAGATAGCATGTTAGATGACTTTGAAAGCGAAACAACTGAGTTAAATCGGTCACCTAACTTCTAATTTACTTATCAACAACAGAAGATTTGTTAGTAATTGAATTTTTTTTAAAAATTATGAATTAAAATGTTTAACTTGATATAACTAATTAAAATTAGGTTAATCCGATTAAACTGTTGAAATTCAAAACGCCAACAATACGTACAAAAATAAGTTGACAAGACTGTGACATGACCATAAATCAAGTGAAAGTGTAGTCTTATTAGTCCCTCCTCGTCCTCAATTTTTGCCACGTGTCAAAAAAGCCATGCCACGTGAGCGCCCTTTTCTTATCTTGAGAAAGCTTACATGGTGCTAGGCTGCATAACCACTCAGCAGCATGACTGGTAAAAGTGAAAAGTTCTTTTATTCTTTTGCTATTTTTAGCAGATTTTTTTATTTTATGAAAGAAGATAATACTTCTGAGCACAAGACCCACTGTTTCGAAAAAAAATTGGTAGAAAATTTCAAATTTACCTTTTTCTCTCAAAATTTTATAACAAGAATGGAAACAAAACATTTTTTCACATATTTTTGTCACAGTTTGTTCGAAGTGTGTTTCTCAAATTGTAGTAGCAATTCCATTTCATTGCTATTTCCCCTCTTTAAATTAATATGGTGTATATTTTGTTTTTGATTATTTCTGTCCCAAGATGTGCGTCCACTCTCAATCACCATTATTCAAGTTCAGCCTTCGAATCTTATAAATTTCACAGTGAGTTACAGATCTTTAAGTTACAGATCTTTC